GTGCTAGTTTCCAGGGATAAAAAGTCAATAAAAAGAATTTCTCTCTTCAAGTAGAGGTGAAGAATACAATTCTGAAACCAGGGCACAGGACCTTGTCCAGATGTCAGAACCCTAACACAGAGAATGGGGCTCAGACAGAGAAATCTCTTGTCGATATTTCAAGAACACTTAGAGAAACTGAGACCTTTACCTGTCCAAAAGGCTTCATAGTCCGGCTTCCCCACCTACCTGATCAAACAGCATAAGGTCATGTCTTTCTTTTTATTTAATCTGTTCAGATCTCAGGCAAACTGGACAGCACCAGCCCATCCCATCCTTGGCTCTTTTCTCTTCTGAGTCTTCAAACACAAGATGCTAACAGAATCTCTGTTAGCAAATTACATAAACTAATTTAAAAAAAGGATTTATCTTTTTGGCGCTGATGCCCTTAAAAGTGTGCTCAGAAATCATAAACAGTGGGAAAACCGCAGGCCTCTGGGTTCTTGGCTGTGGAAGCTCTACCATCGGTTGCAAACACTACAGTTTTATTTTCTTAACTTACTTTTTCCCCATCCGTCTTTATATTCCCCCCTTTGATCCTGTCTCCCTTCCACTCCCTTTTAATCTCAGAAACCTCTCTTGGTTTACTGGTGTCTGCAAGTTTGTAAAAATATTTTACTCTTCAGTCATCTCCTTTGTAAATGTCCAATTATCTGCCTTTGTCTTCTGACTTGCTTTGGACACAAAATGCCCTCAAGCGCCTTCCATTTTGCTGTAAATGGGAACATTTCATCTTTCCTCTGGCTGAACAGCACTCCATTGTATGGACATACCTCACCTTAATCTAATCCTCTCTCAGCACTTAGGTTGATAAACTGATCTTTGAAAAAATGCAAATGACATAAAGCAGGAAGGTGGACACCTGATAATAAAATTAATAGCAGCTATATGGCTTTGGTTGTTTCTGATAGGTTTTTAAAAAAAAAAAAAGACAAGGCTGAAGACCAGTGTGGGGGATCCCCTGATATCATCAAAAAGTCAGGGAACTACTTCAAAACAGATCAGCAAGCCACCAGGACAATTTTTCTTACATTTCCCGAGCTTCTGTAACTTCTTCAATTCCTCGATGCTTGGCATTTCACAGTAAAGCTCCTTAAGCCTTTCGGAAGGGCCATGTGCTTATATAGGGAGAGGGAAATTCAGGAAGTGTCCAAATATAACTGCCCTCTCCCCCCACCCCTTCCAGAGTTGTTTATAGGGAGCAGAAAGGCATCTGGAAGAGAAAAGGGTTGCTTGGCTGACCTGGGGGCATAATTTGCAGAATAAGCAGGGGAGTCGGTGTTGGGACACAAGGGCATGGCACCCCCAGCCATCCACCCCCTTTCTGGCCATGAGCCCTGTCTCAAACTGTCCAGCCCCGTCAGCAGACGGGGTGCTCTGCGTGCCTCAGTGAGCTTAGCTTTGCAGACTCAACTCAGGCACCAGCTAGGAGTCAGATCATGCACTTGGTTTCCAAAGAAGTAAAAGGAAGCTCAGTGAGGTCACATAACACACAGGGAGGCGGGCAGAGCCGGGAGTTGGGCCTGGCCTGTCTGACCCCAGCGCTGGGCTCTCTGCCATGCAGGCGGCCTGTCACTCTTGCTCACAGTGGCACTTGCTTGTCTTCTTCCCCGAGCTCCAGGGGCAGACGTGACCTACACTCCGCTGCCTTCCCATCTCTTGCTGGGAGGGAGCTCCATCTTCTTCCTCAACTGGATACTTGGAGGCTGGGGGCTGGTTCTTGATGTATTTGTTCAGGCCTGGGGTCAAGGCTCACAGCAGGCCCCCCTCTGCACTGCCCTGCAGTGTGTGGTCTCATTAGTGTAAATCTGCTGGAGCTGGGGACCACAAGAGCGAGCCAGAGTGGCGGACAAGCACAAAGGTGGACGTTCCAAAGCAATGAGCACAGCCTTCTGCACCCCATCTCTACTTCCACATGTCCACCGCCTCCCTCCTGAGCCTCTGGCCCCAAAAGATGGAGAGCCGTGGCTACACTGTCTCTGCCCTCTCAGGACTTAGCAAAGGGAGTGGTTGATACACCCCGTGGCAAAACCCAGCACAGTGCTGGACACAGGAGTCCCCGCACTGCTATCTGCCATGGATTTACAGGAGGAGGTGATGTGAGGGAATGTTTCACATGGAGCTGACATGCTGCTGAGAATACAGGGTGCAGTGTTCTGGCTCAGAGTCACTCATACAGAAGGTTTCTCTCCACTGCCAAGTGCTCAAGAAAAACTGCACTGAATGGACATCTATCTACTGGGGAGGAGGCACATCTGGGCAGATTGCCTGGGAACGCACCCAAGTGGGGACAATGGCAGACATGTTCACCCTAAGTAGACAGCTCTCAGCTATCAGTGTGGGCTCCTCAGCTTTGCAGGTATCCAGCTGTTCCTCCAGGTCTGGGCTGGTCTGCCAGTGGATCAGAGCTTCCCATACTACTTAGGCAAATCATGTTCAGATTAACCTTGAGCAAAAGTGCAGAAAATGCAACCACCCATTTGATGGATCTGGCAAACACGGTGTGTGGCATAACCACCCATGTGTCTGAATCGCTGCCCCTGGCTCTCCTTGAGGGTCGAGTGGCAAGACTGCATGTCTAACGTGGAGTTGCCAGGCCCCTGTGAATGTTTGGAGACAGTGGTTTTCTGGTTCTATTAGAGTGGGAGTTCCCTTTCTTCAGGGGAAATCCTACCTGGAAACCAACATGCAACTAAGCAGATTAACTCCAAGCTGCTGGTGTGAGCACCTGCCAGTGGGGCTTGGTTGGTCCTCAAAAACTCCTAGAAGCTTAATTTGAGAAGGAGGCAGCCATCCCCCTTCTTAAGCTATCTACTCACCGATACAACTTTTCTAAAGCACCTACTATGTTCTCGGAGCAGGTAACAGGACAAAGGAGGCCCTGATAGCACAAGCTCAGTGTGGAAGGATGAGACAAAGGTGAATTCAGAGGGTGGTATGTGCTGGAAAGGAAACTGATTAGGGCCGTGGGACCGTGGCCAGGAGGTGGCTACTTTAGATAGGGGATCAGGAAAGGCCTCTCCATGGAAGTGAAACTTGAGCTGAGACCAGAAGGTAATCTGGAAAGATGCCCTATTTTGAGCAAGGAGGAAGTTGACCCAAAGAGGTGAAGTGAGGTGCCCCATGTCACAGGGTGGGTAGGGAGTCAAGCCAGGACTTGACCAGTTTCCTGGCTCCCAAGCCAGGGTTCTTTCCTTCCACAATGTTACTAAACAGCTACTATGTGCAGAGGAGGTTTAGTGACAGGTGACACACCCTGCTGTTCAGGGCTTCAGTCTTGACCCCTTCCCAGCCCAACTTGGTGGGTCCACTTTGGTCCTGGGTCTGGGGGCTCTGAAACCCAGAAGACAGAATCCTGCCGTTGACATCCTAGACCCAGACCTTGTTTGAAGCTTCTTCCTCTCCTAGTTCCCTGGCTGCAAACTGTGGAAAGTACTTCTTACTGTTTCCATTGGCAGCGTGAAGACAGAGACAAGATGACGGGGTATAAGGCCTCCCAGCTTCCCCTGGAGGAAGGTTCTCTGAAAATCAAGCTCTTCAAAGCTACCATTTAAAGACCACCCAGGCCAGTTTCCTCCTGTGTTGCAGAAGGTGCTCACACAGAAACTACTGTACTACAAGCCTGCACATACTTTCCACACCAAGGGTCCAAATCCTGGCTGGGGGCAGACATTCCCAGCCGCAGGCAAATGACTCCCCCAAAACTAGACAGCTCCAGGGCGCCCCCCCCCTCCGCCACCAAGCACTCCCAGAACCTCTGACTTAGCCCAGCATGTGCCCTTTGCCCTTGGAGTCCCACTGCTATTAAAGCACTTTCCCAGGTACTAGCTAACCAGAGCCTCCAGCCACTTCAGGAGGAAGGCAGGTCCCCCTGCACACTGAGCCACTGAGCTCTGCTAAAGACACAGTGACAAGCAGTAAGTCTGACTCAAGTTCAGGTCTCCAGACTCCAACTGGAGCTTCTCCTACTGGAATCCAGCGGCCCACAGATTAAACACTGACTATCCAGGCTGGCCCAACACCACCCCAAGTCTCTCCCTCACCTTCTACCTCTACCTTATGCCCCAAAGGTACTTAATTTTTCCAGAAGCTGCCTCTTCTCCCCACACCACCCCTGACTCACTGTGTGTGTCCACCAGCTGGAGACCTCTGTCCCACCTACTCCAGACACTCAGCAGGTTACACCCAGGAGGTGCTCCTCCGCCCTCATCCCTTTCCTATCCTCCGCCAGTGCACACCCAGGAACACAGCACATACCACTGGTAGAAACAATATAGCCCGGAAACTTCCACACTATTCTTTCCATACCCCGCCGGCCAAGGGCAGGTGCAGGAAGGGCAGGCATGCACAGGTGAGGCTGCCCGCAGGCCTGAGTTGGCACAAATACACAGATGTGCCTGGGGACTCGCTGGACAGCCCCGCCGTGGCGGACAGATCTGCTGCGAACAACCCCGTGCACACACTGCAATCGCCAGCTGCCAGGATCCAGCGAACCCCTTCTTGCCGGAGGAACCCAGCCAAGGACTGCACAATTCTAGCCAGGCTTACTCTGGACCCGTCACCTCCCGAGAATGCATAAAAGGCAGCTACTGGAAACCCAGGGTGGACATTTTGAAGCGGGACAGACAAGCACTGAGCTCGCTGCGCGGGACAGGGCATTCAGGGGCCCAGAGTCCTCTCCCCAGGCCCCCGCGCAGAGAGCAGACCCGGGCAGGCGCCCCTCACGGGCACCCCAGCGCGCGCACCAGCACCCAGAGCGCCCGGGGGTAGGGGAGGGTCCTCGCCCCGACTCCTAATCCACAGTCAGCCCTGCCGTCCCGGTAAGGCCACAGGCGCGAGCGGCGGGGGATGTGGGGGCGCCTCCTTCCCGCGGAAGCAGCGACCGGCGGGCCTCGCCGGCCCCCCCTCCCCGCGCGCCCCGGCCCGCCGCCCCCCGCCCCGCGCGCGCCCGCCGCACTCACCCGGCTCCAGACGCGGCGGCCGGAGCCCGAGCCTCCCGGGCACCAGGCGCCCCTCGCCGCAGCCCCGCCGGGAAGGGGTCAGGGTGCGGGAGCCCGACGCCCGGCCCAGCGCCCCGGGCACTTCCTGCAGCCCGGCGCCTCCCCCGGCCCGCCTCCCCGCGCAGCGCCCACCCGCCCTCCTCGCCCCTCCGGATCCCGCTCCCCTCTCCGGCGGGCGGGCCGCCTCGCCCAGGGGCCCGGGGCCGCGGGCTCTTTGTTTGGAGTCGCCTTTCTTCCATTCAGAGCACAGAGAGCGCTTTAAGTCGGAGCTGGGGCAGCTGTGCGGTTGCCCGGGGGATCCTCGGGAAGAGGGGGCTGGGGTGCAGCCAGGGGCTTGCAAGCCTTTTTGTCCCTCCTTACCCCACTCCACCCCCAGCTCCGCGCCTCCCATCACTCCCCGCTTCTGACGTCTCTCGGGCCCCCTAGTTAGGCTCCCAGAGGAAGGGGAAGTCCACAGGGTCCCGGGAGAAGCCCACTGGGGGCGGGCAGGAGCATTAGGGCGCCTTTCCATTACAAAGAGCCTCCCCTCTCCCTTCTCCCCAGACCTGGAAGATGCCCCTCATTGCCCTGTCCTGCCGACAGCCTGCAGACCTTCAGCTGTGCATCTCCTGGGCCCTGGGACAGGCAAGATCTCTTCTTAGACTTGAGAAAAAAGGAAGAGCAAGGGAGTTCATCTGTCCCAGCCCTGGCGAGAGCAGGTGCAAAGTGCCTATAAATGGCTCTGTTGGAACAGTGGGGCCCGCATTACCTGCTATTTCCCAGAGCAACAAAGGCCTGTGCTTATCCAACCATGTTCTTTTGAAACTTGACTGCAGTGAACAAGGTTACCCATTGACCAGGCTGTTAGGTCAGGGAAACCACTGGAGGAAAGGCCAGCTGACCAGAAGCACCTGCCTTCTACTTCCCCGAGGCTGCCAAGAAAGGACTGACAAAGGGGAGTAGGTGAGGGTCTAGGAAGGAGGTGGTTGCTACAGTCCCAGGGAGAGGGACACCCGAAGTGGGGGCCAGGATGAATGCGCAAGATGCAGGGGGGTGGTTGTTCTGCAGAACTTGCTGTAGGTGGTGAGGAAGGAGGGGTAGGAAGGGGCAATGAGGACGTCTAAGGAAGACTTTGCCCTGTCTTAATTATTAGGGGGAAAGGATGTCCTAAAGCTAATTCCATACAGGCTTTGTGGACTCCACCCCCACCCCAGGCCAAAGCCAAAGACACTGGGAACTCCAAATCCCATCACCACCAAAGGGAAGGTGGCTGGGACCTGAGGCTGGGGTTAAGCAGCCAGGTGGATATAAAGGCAGACACGTGGGCTTTGGGGGATCCCCCATTTTGGTCTCCGCCAGCTCGCAGCGTCCAGCCAGCTCTGAGAGTGACTTTGGGTTTCCAGGTCGGCGGATCGGGTAGGACGCATTAAAGACTTTATTTCCCTATTTTCTCCCTGAGTTGTACATTTTCCTTATTTCCTTTTCCCTTGTAAATAAACCTTTTAGTAACCTTTTGTGTGTGTCTGTAGTGGAGTATTCATAAGTCCCTGTTAAGTGCGGGTGAGGACCCACAGCCAGGAACCCATTCAATATCGGGGCTGCCCTATAACATTTTGACAGGGATTCTCAGGAAAAGAGAAAAGATGGAGAAGTGGAACAAGAGGAGGGATAGTAGTAGAGAGAATATGGGTTTTCAGAAGACAATACAGGACTGGGACAGATGAACTCGCTTGCTCTTCCTTTTTTCTCAAGTCTAAGAAGAGATCTTGCCTGTCCCAGGGCCCAGGAGATGCACAGCTGAAGGTCTGCAGAAGGGGGAGTGTGAGGTGGGTGGGGTAAGAATGTGGGGTGTGAGGCTACTAAAGTGAGTAATATTAAAACAGTAATGGGGCTTTTGGTGGTAGGCATGGTGAGGTGACACATGCTTGTAGGGTGTGAGCCTATATACCCTTAGACATATAGAGTGTTGTAAATTGACGTTACCTCAATAATCATAATGAAAATCATAATGTAAAATGACGTTACCTCCAGAAATTAGGAAAGAGAGGCCTGGATCACGTCCCAGAGCAATCTTTTAGCAATATGAGAGGGCAAGTGGTCAGTGAATCTCTAGACCAGAATATCCCCTTTCAGCACTATCCCAACTAAAGCTCAACACAGGGAGTAAAAGCAATAGAAATATAATATGCAATTTAAAATTTCCCAGTAGCCACATTTAAAAATGTGAGAAGAAAAACAGGTGAATTGAATTTTAATGAATCACTTTATGTAACACAATATATCTAAAATATGATCATTTCAACTTGCATCAAAATAAAAATTGATGAGCTGTTTTGCATCTTCCTTCTAAGTCTTCCACTCTGGTGTATGTTTTACACTCACAGCACATTTATGGACAGACACAAGCTTTTCACTGGAAATACCTGTATTTAGATTTCATAGCATTTATGGTTGAAAAAGTAGATTTATAAGCCTCACTGGCTCCATGCATACTCACGCTTACCAAAAATGCAACCCAGTGATCACTTTTTAAATTTGCATTCAAGTCAATGAAAATTAATTGAAATTAAAAAATGTAGCCCTTTTGTGACACTTAGCACATCCACCGTTTCAGACCACACAGGCCTAGAATATGAATTCCTAGATTTCTGGATTTGGGTCTTGGTTTTGTGTTCACCCTCCTGTGAAAAAAACGGATCCCCTCTGCCCCCACCAAGTGCAGCAGAATGAAGATGACCCTGATCAGTTCCATTTCATATCACAAACCACTTGAAATCGTGAGGGATAAGGCTGTGAGTTGCTCTATGGGAATTGGCATGGGGTTTGGCTTGGACAGGATGACGAGTGAGGAAAATGAGACATGAGTTGGAAGGATTCCATTCTGACTGTCCTTGGTTCATTGGGGGAATGCTGCGGTTTCCTTGTCAAGCTCCCGAGGTTGAACTGATACTCCCGAGGTTGAACTGAGGTTGAACTGATAGTGCCCAGACAGCTCTTGGGTACTCCCGAGGTTGAACTGATAGTGCCCAGACAACTCTTGTGGGCATGGCCTCCTGGGTCGGTGTCCCGTGAGCTCTACACACTGACTGCCTGAGTCCTCAACACCAGGGTGTGGCTGTCAGGTATGGTCCTTGTTTCTTGCATCTGCAAAATGGGAGAGTAGTCCCTTATTCAGGAGTAAAATGGAAGAGACTAGTGCATTCCAAGTATAAAGCTATAGTGAAGGAGGAGTTTTCATTTTTATCTTACATATTTTATTGATTTGCTGTTCATTTGCATAACTATAGTTTGAGGAATATAATTTCATGCTTCAATATGTGCACTTGCTTCACGCCCCCTTCACTAAAGCTCTAAGGTCCCTACACTGTTAGGTTACCCCCAAGCCCCCCATTGTGATGGAGGAGTTTTAATCCCAGGTTTGAAGCCCTGTACTCCTCCGCCAGGCCTGGGCTGGGTGCCCCAGCTGTGCTGACAGTGGCACTTTGGCACTGCCCACCCCCCCAAGGCTTCCTTCCTAAACTGGTCAAAGTCTATTATTTGGAGGTACAGGGTAGGATCCTGTGGGGATCTTGTGGGATCCCCTCCATGTGCTATAGGACCTGATATCATTTCTTCCCAGCAACAGTATCAATATTCATCCTTATAAATGGAATCACAGAAAATATCATTTTGTGGGTAGATGATTAAACGCATACACACGCGTGTACACACACACAGCTAAAGACTCTGACCTGCTTTTATTGGCTCCCCAGGATATACGGTGCATTAACTTGGCATTCAGGTTGTATCATGAGCCCTCCAGATCAGGCAATATAACCCTGGGACTGGATTCCTCCGCCCCCTGGACACAAGTCTGTCTTCCTAAACAATTTCCAGTTACTACGTAGGTGGGCTGCAAGGGATTGAGGGTTCCCTTGACAATCTCTGCTCTGCTCCCTGACATTTCTGCTAACTGTCTGACTAGATGCTCTTTGTATAGTCTCTGGGAGCCTTTCCCAGGAAAAGCAGCTGTGTTCTGGAAGGTAGACACCCAAGTGGACACCACACAGCCAGTCTGACTCAATTCTTCCCCATCTTTAAAACAGAGACAAACTCCTCCCCTCTTAGAGTGTGAAAGCTGGCCCTGGTTTCTCCATCCATGGGACAAATTGAGCTAAATAGGCTCTCATCAGCAGTGCCACCTCTTCCAGAAAGGCTGGGAATAAGGAAATGTTAAATATTGATCAAATATTAAATAGTGACGAGTAGCTTCCAGTAGCTTCCAACCTGCATTTGATCCTGAGATTAATAACAGAGACAACTCATTTTTGCAACGATACCTGGCACTTAATAGGAGGTGGCAGAGGAATGAGCATGGAACAGACCCATACAATCTCGGGTGTAATTCCCACAAGAGACATGTTCCCCAGAGGTGGGAATCTTCCAACTGTTGTGAGGCAGGCTTCCAAGGGCACCAAGAACATTAGTTGCACTGATTAGTGCTTGAAATAATTATTGATCTTTATTAACAGTGTCAAAAGCGCTGTTCAGACAGCCAGCTGCTTATCATGCTCTCTTGGTATGAAGGACTTTACAGCCTGGTTCTTTCCCAGGAGATCATTATTTAAGGCAAAACATAAAAAAAACACATCTAGGCTACAGAAAACAGAAGAACAGACAGCTGAGCAAATACATAAATAACACAAAATGACACTGAAGTGTTCACAGCTGGAATTTTTTAGCGCAAATAGCCCTTACTGCTACTTTTCTTTCATCTTCTCTAAGAGGTTTTCTAGAGCTTGCTTCTGTAACTGGGCCATGGCTTCCCCAGCGGTCGAAGGTCACATGTCAGGGAAGAAGAAAGGCTTTGAATAAACACAGTGAGTTTTCCTGGAGCGGCTATGCTGTTGAGGATTTATTTTGGAGGAATACGACTTTTATTTTCAAAAGTGTAACATTGTAGCAAATTCAATCAATAAAGTACTAAAGAAGAAAGAGGCAAGTAAAACCATCTGAAATCTTAGCTTTCAGAGATATTTATTATTTTGATGAATAATCT